CAGATTTTTGACATTCATCCAAAAAGATGATAACTGAAATTATTCAAGAAATGAACTTAAACAGCAGTTTTGACACAACAAGGAATTAGAAAACTGAAGGATGCGCCTGAAGGAATTATTCAGAACGCAGTATAGAAAGATACTGCATTGGAAACATACCTAAGAGAAATTCAAAGACAGGAAGGATACAAGGACAAGGTCCAACATATGTCTAATTGAGACCGAGAGAAGAAAAATAGAGAAAAGGAGAGCAAAAATATTTGAAATGAAACTGGCTGAGGATCTTTCACACTTGGTGAAAGGTGTCGGTGTCATAACCACATTATGTACCCCAACCAAATAAATTAAATCCATGTAATTCATCAGAGTATCAGAACGAAGCAGGAAAACCTTATGGTTATTTCAACAGATGTAGAAAAACCCATGTGCTAAAATTATATATATATTATATATATATATATTATTAATATATATGAGTTTTTAACCTTAACAAACTAAGGATACAAGGAAATTTCTTTTACCTAAATAAGAAAATATATGAGAATAACCTAAAGCTAAGCTTTTATGAAATGGCACGATGCTGAACACTCCTTGGTTTGGAGGACATTGTACTTAAGTTTTCAGCAAGTTCAATAACATAAGAAGAAGAAATGAAAGACATAAATATTTGAAGGGAAGAAGAAAAATTATTTTTATCCTTAGATACTGTGACTGTATCCATAGAAAATCCAAATAAATATTCACACTTCTGGAAATAATATAAGAGTTTTTAGCAAGATTGCTGGATTCAAGGTCAAAAATTTTAAAGTTACTAAAAAAAAGTACTGTATTTTTTGTACTGTCAATAGACAATAAAAGATGTATATTTTTTTTCTTTTTTTTTTTTTAATTTTTTTTCAACGTTTATTTATTTTTGGGACAGAGAGAGACAGAGCATGAACGGGGGAGGGGCAGAGAGAGAGGGAGACACAGAATCGGAAACAGGCTCCAGGCTCTGAGCCATCAGCCCGGAGCCCGACGCGGGGCTCGAACTCACGGACCGCGAGATTGTGACCTGGTTGAAGTCGGACGCTTAACCGACTGCACCACCCAGGCGCCCCAATAAAAGATGTATATTAAAAATATCATCTGCCCCTTACAATAGAAAGTCTATATACAAATATAGAATGAATAATGGTGCTAGAAAGTCATCATTTGCCAACCATCACAGTAATAATTTATTTAGGTAGGTGGTAAAGAAGGACATTGGATGGGGGCGCCTGGGTGGCTCAGTCAGTTAAGCTTCCGACTCTTGATTGTGGCTCAGTTCATGATCTCACGGTTCTCAGGATTGAGCCCCCACATTGGACTCTGCGCTGGCAGGACAGAGCCTGCTTGGGATTCTCCCTCTCCCTCTCTCTCTCCCTCTTTCTCAATCTCTCTCTCTCTCTCTCAAAATAAATAAACCTAAAAGCAAATAAAAATACATTAAGGAGGGCATGGGGTATTGGTAATATTGTTTCTTCGTCTGGGTTTTGGTTATATGGGTGTGTTTAGTTACGAAAATTTATTGAGCTGATATGTGTACCTTTTTCAAGACAAAAATTTCAGTAATGCACCGGCTATCAAGGATTTAGAAAAATGGGCATCCTGAATCCTTTTGGCACTAAGATAACATAGTAAGACTTTAGAAAAGGATTTTGGGCAAAATCTGTTCCAGAGATGCCCATGAATCCAGTAATCTACTCCTAGGGGATCACCTAAAGAGACACTTGTGTGAAATTATTGCCTAAATGGATAGTCACCTGTGCATTATTTGTAAGAGTAGAAACTTGGACACAGCTGTCCCTTGGCTGTCCCTTTAGATCTATCCCATCAAATAGAACTTAGATGAAATCTCACACAAATCTCAAAGCTTTTCTGGTTACTCTAGCTATTAAAAAATAGATTCGCTCATCAGATGTTAACAATTTCCAGACTAATTGAATATCAAAGCTTTAATGAATCATCCACTTTTTTTTTTTTTCTTTAGAGGAGGAGGGGCAGAGAGAGAGGGGTTTAGAGGATCCAAAGCAGCCTCTGTGCTGACAACACACAGCCGGATGTGGGGCTCAAATTCACGAACAGTGAGGCCATAACCTGAGCTGAAGTCAGATGCTTAACTGACTGAGCCACCCAGGGGCCCCAGAATCATCCACTTTTAAGCCCCCAGATGAGCTTCTCTCTGAAGTTGGCCACATGAGTCCTGGGGTAGTACAACTCCCTAACCTGTGAACTAGGTGAAAGTAAGTAAGTGACAAAGCAAATGTGCAGATGTTAAAATTTGCGAAAGAACAAAAAGAATACATAAAGTTATATGAATTGTCATTATCCAAAAAATTAATAACAGTGGTTGTCTCCAGAGAGGAGAACCAGGTATCTTACTTATATCTTTCTATACCTTCTAAATTTTCTACCATGTATGTCCATTGCCTTGTCAAAAAATAAATGGGATAAAGAGAGCCATAATATAGTGTTAAGCAGAAATGACATAACATTACAATCCCATTTTTAGAAACCATATATATGTGGATTTTAACCAAGAATTTGATTTTATTCTCCAAGTTATAGATTTCTCTATTGTTTTAATTTTTCAATGAGCTTATGGTTTATACATATAAAAGATATTCCCATTTATAAAATATGTAAATAAGCACATTTTGAAGTTGAGGGAAGGTGTTTAGGAATCCTGGTTCTTGTTTGGCATTGAGTGAAACATGTCAGTTTTCTGCTGTGCAGGGTGCATTTTGGTTGACAGAACATATAGTATAAGAACAAGGCCAGCCACTATTGTGGCCTGTTGTTATGCAAATATTGTACAGATCTACTTAATCTGATCAACAAATCATTGTGTCATGTCACTTTTACCAAAGATGAGTCATAGTGTCCTCAAACACTCTAAAAATGAGATATTTCTGTTTCAGGAGTACAATCTTACCAATGATTTAGAAGGTCATTTTCCTGCAGTGCCTGGGTGGCTTAGTTTGTTGAGCGTCTGACTCTTGATTTTGGCTTGGGTTATGATCCCAGGGTCCCGGGATTGAGTCCCATGTTGGGCTCCTCGATGAGCATGAAGCCTGCTTGGGATTCTCTCTCTCTCCCTCTCTCTCTCTACCCCTCCCCTGCTCATGCTCTCTCTCTCTCTCTCTCTCTCTCTCTCTCTCAAAAAAATAAAAAATAATTTTTTTTTTTAAAAAGGTCATTTTCTTCTCAGCTACTCAGAAGGACTGAAACCTCTCCTTGTTTACCAAACACAATCTATACTTGTGAAAAGATACCAGCCATGAGGAAATCAAAATAAAAGCATAGCCATCAGGATCCAGATGTCAGAATTAGAAGTCTAGGCATAGCTTCCATTGAAATGCCTACGAAATTCCATATTGCATCATCCGTTCTAAAGTAAGGATAAGTAGGGCTGGCCTTGAGGAAACAAATAATCAGGAGAAGGTTTGGGAGACTGCAGAATAAGAAACAAATTTTTTTTAAAATGTGGTGTTCAAATTTTTAAAAATTGTGTGTGGTCAGAGGATTTAACCCTGGCTACCTTGGATAAACTCCTCTGAAGACACTCCCACTTCACAAAACTACTGGAAGCTGAGATGTAGTTTGTCCATACCCATCAGGCTTCTGACTATTTCCATGGCACAGATAAAGGAATGGTTCTTAAGTCCAGAGTAGCTTTTTTTCTGAAGCTCAAGGACACTAGCAAACACTAACTTCAGAGTCAACCAGTAATGATATATTTATTAAATACTATGCACACAGGTAAGTTTACTACTCTAAAACTCTTTAAAGATATTTAAAACTAGACATCTAAATCACAGCTCTTGGACTCTTCTGATCCAATGGGGTAGATAAAAACATACTAAGGAGGTGCCTGGCTGGCTCAGTCAGTAGAATATGGGACTCTTGATCCAGGATAGTTGAGTTCAAGCCCCACACTGGCCATAATATATATATATATATATATATATTTTTATATATATATATATATATCCTTTAATCCAGATATAAAATAGACACATATTGGGGTTCCTGGGTTGCTCAGTTGGTTAAGTGCCCTACTCTTTATTTCTGCTCAGGTTATGATCTCATGGTTTGTGAGATCCAGCCCTGAGTCAGGCTCACCTTGACCGTGCAGAGCCTGCTTGGGGTTCTCTCTCTCTCTCTGCCCCTCCCATGCTTGCACACACACTCTCTCTCTCTCAAAATAAATAAATAAACTTAAAAAAAAAAAGATGCATATTTAGGAGAAACTACACAAAATTGTGAATATCTAGAACTGTGAGCATCTATTAAAGAAGGCTTTGGTGTAAGAAAATCTATCTTGGGGTTTAGCTGAAGAAATTCAGATATTGAATGAGCAGAAAGGCTTACTCATAAACAATATCTGTAGTTATTATATTTTAATTTAATGAGTATTTATTATGGTCTCAATTTGCTTATGGAATGACTGCGATGTTATAAAAAATGATCTCTTACAGGAGTCATGGCCTTTAGAGTGCTGAATAGAGAGCCCAAAACTTTAAAGCAACCAAAATATTCTCAAGAGGTTAATGGATAGGGGCACCTAGGTGGCTCCGTTGGTCAGGTATCTGACTTTGATTTCGGCTGAGGTCATGATCTCACAGTTGGTGAGTTCAATCCCCCCCGTGGCTCTGCCCTTGACAGCACAGAGCCTGCTTGGAATTCTCTCCCTCTCTTTCTGCCCCTCCCCCATGGTCTCTCTCTCTCTCTCTCTCTCTCTCTCAATAAATATAAAAAAAAAAAAAAAAAAAAAGAGGGAAAGCAAGAACGAAAAGGAAAGAAAGAAAAAGAAACGCTTTTCCGAAGTGGGATCTCTCCAACCAGGAAGCTGTGCAGTGGTCGCGGACCAGCCCGAGCTCCACAGCAAGGAGGGCCCGCCAGCCCCTCCCCGGAATGGTGGGGCCAGTACTGCGCCTGCGCCAGCCGCGCACTCAGGGAGGCCCGCCGGGAACCTGGCAGGAGCAAGTGCCTGGAGGAGAGGGGTTGCAGGAGCCGGCTGTCGCAGCCACAAAGCCTTGCCTAACTCCAAGCCCTGACCTACACAAGGGTACATAGTCCCCCTGAAGGGAAAGCTGGGGGAGTCGGGACCGACCTGCCGGGTCGGGGCCTGGTGGACTGCTCGGTATCTTCACTGAGGGCCCCCGGGAGCCTGGATTACTGGTAAGTGCAGGACCCCAACAGGCAGCCAGTCCAAAAGGGCACTAACCGTCGCTAGTTTAAAGCAATGGCTTCAGAAAGACTCATTGAGGGGGTGGAGGAGGCGGGTGCTTCCTCCGCCCTGCGTCCATGAAGGTGCTTCGGAAGCAAGTGGAGCTCCACAGGCCTAGAGGGCCCGGGTGGCCGCCAAGAGCCGATGGGGGCTGCGTAGTGCGCATGCGCGAGCCGGGAATCAGGGTAGCGGGCGACCCGGCACAGGACAAGTGTCTGGGCCAGCAGGGTCACGGGACCAGGCTGTTGGGGGTCCAAGGCATCTGCCCGATTCCAAGGGTTCACCTACACAAATGTGCATATTACCGCCGGAGGGAAGAGCTGGGGGGGGGGGGGGGGATCTGGATGGCCCTGCCAGGTGAGGCGCACCTGAGGATGATCGGGATACCCTCCACTTAGACCCCCCAGAGCCCTGATTGCTGGAGAACCCTGGGAACCAGTGGGCAGCTGGTCCAAATCTGGGCCGACTGTCGCCAGATTAAATCTGCCACCTCAGAAATATTTTCTGATCTTGGGCTCCCTCCAGCCTTCAGGTGGGCCTGAAGCTTGGGTCATTCTGGTGGTTGGAGTTCCTCTCCGAGCCGCTGGGGCCGGGAGAGCCCCATGCAGCCCAAGGTGGACCGATACGGTGCTGACTGCGCGTGCGCAGGCCACAAAGGTCATGGTAGCGGGGACTTGGAACAGAGCCGATGTAGGGATTAGTCAGGTCAAGGGGCAGGCTATTTGGGGGTGCCTGGCGTCTGCCTAATTCCAAGCCTCCTCCTACACAATATGCCTATTTCCCCTGACAGCAAACCTGGAGGACACCGGACTGCTTTGCCAGGGTGGGGCAAGCTGACTGGTGTCGTCTGATAGGAGACACCAGGGAGCACTGGCTGCTGGAGAGGCCCCTGCTCCTGGGGGGCTTGATTCAGGAGAGAGATTTGTATTTGGTATTCCTGCACAGCTCTGGAGCAAGGGGTAACAAGCGCCATCCTGTGACCTGCTACTGGGCCAGGACCCGGCTCAGAAGGGGCAGAGTCACAGCCGTGGGCTCTTGGGAGAAAGCATGGATCTGCCAGTGTCTAAGCTCTCACTACACAAAGGCTCCTGTTCCCTCTGAAGCCAGATGGGGAGATTGCTCTAAAGCCTTGTTTAGAGGGACTGAGCTGTCCAAGAACGAGACACATGGGAGCCCTTGTTTGTTGATAACTTTAGGCACCTATTAGCAGCACTTTTATTTTTTTTTTAATTATTTTTGTTTGAATTTTTTTTAACGTTTATTTATTTTTGAGACAGAGAGAGACAGAGCATGAACAGGGGAGGGGCAGAGAGGGAGACACAGAATCGGAAGCAGACTCCAGGTTCTGAGCCTTCAGCCCAGAGCCTGACGCGGGGCTTGAACTCACGGACTGCGAGATCATGACCTGAGCTGAAGTCGGACGCTTAACTGATTGAGCCACCCAGGCGCCCCATAGCAGCACTTTTAAAAGGGAATTGACTTTCACTACCTTTGCAGCCTCAGGACTATGTCATGTTGTGGTGGCATCCCAGGAGAACATCCAGGTGGTTAGACCAGCCATGGCACCAGAGGCTTGGAGGGCCTCGCTGCCCAAGGCCTGATGAAGGGGTGTGTGCTGTGTCTGTGTAGGCTATGTGGTACATGGTGGCCAGAGATCTGGAACAGTCCAGCGGTTATCCTAAGCAACAGGATCGATGGCTCGGCTCTTGGGGGACCTAAGGCACCTGAATAATCCAAGCCTTAACCTAACCAATGTGGCCATTGCCCCTGAAGGCAGATCTTGGGTGGGAACTTGCCAGGGGCAGGCCAGGCAGGGCTGGCTGGGGTTACCTCCTGTCAGAGACAGCTGGGAGCCCTGGTTGCCCAAGAGGCCTCTGCTCCTGGGGTCGTGGGTCAGGAGAGGGAGCTGTGCATGTGGATCCTGGCAGCTCTCTGAGCAAGGGGGTCCCCAGACAGTCTGTGGCCTGGTAGCCACCAGGACCTAGTTCAGAGGAATGGGGGCACTAGGATTGGCTTTTGGGAGAAACTAGGCCTGTGAAAATTCCTCTGTTCCTCATTGGCTATTTGCTGGACACCATAGTTCTTTACAAAATGGACTTTTCCATAGACTGCACGCCTGCATTCACAACATAGCCGCTAGCTCTCCCTAGCGTAAGTGATTTAAGAAAGAGACCAAAGCAGAAGCCATAGTCTCTCTTATAATTTTCTCAGAAGTGTCACACCATCACTTCTGACAAATTCTATCGGTCACATAGACAACCCTGGTTCAATTTGGGAAGGGCTGCATGGGACAAGAGTACTAGGAGGCAAAGATTATTGGGACCATTTGAGAGACTGGCCGCGCAAAGCCTGGATGTCCTGATAATTTAGCTGTCTGGAACTTAAGGCCAAGAGGAGGACAGAGATTTTCGTCTCTTTGGTTGATAGCACCTAAAACAGTAACTGGTACATAGAAAGTGCCCAATCAATATTAAAAGGATGAATTGATATTAAGGGAAATGTGAACTTATCTTGCAGCCACCTCCTGGAGCTCTGGAAGCTGGTTTCCATTTGTTTTCCTTAATATATTTAGCTCAAGATTTGATTGGTTTGCGATCACTGACCATAAGGGAAAGCAACCTCCATTCTTTCAGAGGAAAAGAAAAGTAGATTGAGAGTATAATATTTGCTGGCTAAAATTCACTCCTGCAAACATCACACTTTGGTTTGCCTAGTTCTCTAGAATCAGCACTGGGTGGATATCTTCCAGGCTATGTATGAGAAAAGTAAAAAAGAGTACATCATGGGGTCTATTTTGAAGCAACGTAGCAAATAAAGCAGAGACAAGGTTTTACTGTGATCTGACACCTGAGACACAAATGACCAATGCTTCACTGGTAGGTAGGCTTCGCCACTTTCCCTGCCACATCATAACCTCAGATTTCCTTTATCTTGAATTTGAACTAACAGGGCCTATCAGATGAAACACTAGACTCAGTCCTTGGTGAGGATAAACCACTCAGACTCCACCCCACAATTCCATCAATATTAATAGTTATAATTGGTATTATGACTTAAGTATGTAATTAGAGCCATGTGCATTTCCTCAATTTTCACATTTTATCCTTAGAACAGACATGGGGTGCATCTACCTTGTTTACTTTAATCCTCTTCTGAGATCCATGATCACCCAGAAATAGGTCCTGTATTCATGTCGCTGCTACATGACTCCACTTCCCTGGTCACAACTGATTGGAGGAAGGGATTGTCAGCTCAGCGAAAAAGGGCTAATCAGATTCTATGTCCTGTGTGTTTGGAATTGGGACCGAGGGGCAGTCACTTGAACACGCGAGTTATAAAATGTTACGGATTTGACACCAAAAGCAAAACAACAAAAGCAAAAATAAACAAGCGGGACTACATCAAATTAAAAAGCTTCTGCACAGCAAAGGAAACCATCAACAGAATGAGAAGACAACCTAGTGAAAGGGAGAAAATATTTGCAAATCATAAATCTGATAAAGGGCTAATGCCCAAAATACATAAAGAACTCATACAACTCAATAGCAAAAGATAAAAACTAAAAACAATTAAAAAAAAATTTTTTTTAACGTTTATTTATTTTTGAGACAGAGAGAGACAGAGCATGAACAGGGGAGGAGCAGAGAGAGAGAGGGAGACACAGAATCCGAAACAGGCTCCAGGCTCTGAGCTGTCAGCACAGAGCCCGACGTGGGACTCGAACTCACGGACCGTGAGATCATGACCTGAGCCGAAGTTGGACGCTTAACCGACCAAGCCACCCAGGCGCCCCTAAAAACAATTTTTTAATCCGATTAAAAAAATGGGAAGAACATCTTGTGTATAGACATTTTTCCGAAGAAGACATACAGATGACCAGCAGATATATGAAAAGGTGCTCAACATCCCTAGTCATCAGGAAAATGTGAATCACAACCCCAAGGAGGTATTCCTTCACATCTGTTAGAGTGGCTATCATCAAGCAGACAAGAAAAAGCAAGTGTGGGTGAGGATGTGGAGAAAAGGAAACATGTATGCATTCTTGGTGGCAATGTATATTGGTGCAGCTACTACGGAAAACAGTATGGAGGTTCCTCAAAAAATTAAAAGTAGAACTACCATGTGATCCAGCGATTCCATTTCTGAGCATTTTTTCAAAAAAAATGAAAACACTAACTCAAAAATATAAATGCACCATGTTTATTGCAACACTGTTTGCATTTACCAAAACAAGGAAGGAACCTAAGCAACTATCAGTGCATGAATGTTTAAAGAAAATGTGTTGTCCATGCATGTGTGTGTGCGCACGAGCACACACACACAGTGAAATATTATGTAGCCACGAAAAGAAGGAAATCTTTCTGTTTGCAACAACATGGATGGACCTGGAGGACATTATTGTGCTAAATCATATTACATCAGCTATTCTGACTTATGAAATAAGTCAGACAAAGACAAACACTGCAGGATCTCACTTATATGTGCAATCTGAAAACAAATCAACCAACCAACAAAAACAAACAGCAACAAAAATCCAAACTCCTAGTACAGTGAACCACCTCTGGTGGTTGCCAGAGGTGAGGGATGTTGGGTGGGTGAAAAGAGTGAAGGTGGTCAACAGGTACAAACTTCCAATTATAAAATAAATAAGGCATGATGACTTTAATTAATAACATTGTATATTTGAAAGTTGCTGAGGGAGTAGATCTTGAAAGTTCTCATTACAAGAAAAAAATCGGTAACTGTGTCGTGGATGTTGACTAGACTGTGGTGATGATTGCACAATATATACCAAATTAATCATTAGGTTGTACACCTATAACTAATAACATTATAGGTCAATTATATCTCAATAAAAGTAAAGATTACAAAATAAAAGAGCTATGGAGTGATCTTTCTCATGTGTAGGAAAGATGAGAAATGGAGAGAGTAGTACTTATGTATGTGTTTA